ACTTTCCCAAGTCACCCCATCCACACACCTCACATTTCCTACCTGTGCACACGGCTTCCTGTCTTCCCCCACCTCTCCACTGCGCACTGACTCCATTGCCACATCTCAATTACCCGATTTTAGCACCCTTACAACTCTGCCCCCACTCTTCCGCACCCACAAGAACCTGGCAACACCCCAGCCTTAGGAAGTGCCCAGATTTTCTATAAGCGGATTCTAAAGTAGCAGTATAGTAAAATAATTATACTGGGCAGACTGGTGATCACATAACTGGTAGTCACCAGGTTCTACCAAGCCATCATCCACGTCTTGCTCTCCTAACTGTCCACTTTAACTATAATCAACCTCCTGCATCCTTCCTGATATTCTATTTCCTCTTTTAATAAAAGATTCCCTTATATTGTTCTGCCGACCCCTCTCGCCCCTTTCCTGACACAGTGTGTGTCAGATGTGCCTGGATCGCATCCTCCCGCCACAGTACTCAGTTCCACCCCAACATAAACACTTGCTTGGCTCCACATTCCACACCCTGTGCCCCCTGTCTCCTCCCCATCATGACTAACAACCTGAAAAACGTTGCTCTGGGCTGATGTTTGGGCCTCCCTCCACCCCAAATTCCCATTCATCCATGATCTTCAGCGTGAGGTTGTATAGAGCTGGGGCTGCGGTGAGGTCATCAGAGTTAGGTCATGGGGGTGAGGTTCTACAGATGGGATTACTAGAAAGCAGGGAGCTCCCTCTCTCAGCCACCAGAATACAGTAAGGTGGCAGCCACCTGCAAGCTGAAAACAAGGGCCCTTAGCACGGAAGAGAAGCAGATCATACCTCCCCACCCAGGCTATGCTACTTTGTTATGGCAGCTCAAGGTGGCTAAAACAAAACCACAATTATTCCAAAGTATCCTCAGAAAATTGTCTCCATACCAGAATCCATGGACGCTCAGGCTCCTTATTCAAAATGGCAGTGTTTGTATGTAGCTTTCTCCCAAACAGCTTTACCAGGTGAAATAGTCTGTATGTTATTTCTAACACAAATACAACATAAATACTAAGTTCTTATGTTTATGTAATTATACTCTAAAACCTTCTCTGTCTTTGGGGGAAGACCAAGTGAATAGCTGTTACATTTTATCATCAGGGAATGATGCAAGCCAACACCTGCAGGCACAAGGTAGTAACAACCACTGCAACGCTTACCCTATGCTGGACAGAGGTGAAGTAACTATGAAATGGCAGAAGACCACACACAGCCCAGTGTTTCTTCCATCACCTACCTGGGCTTAGCACAGCACTCAGCAAGCCACAAACTCAAATTCTGCTTTTTTCCATTTTTTTTTTCCAGTAGGTTGAATCCAGATACAGAACCCACACAGCCCACTCCCACTGCACTCTAATCTGGTGCCACTTTCTGCCACCATGCTAGAGAGCTAAATGACAAGCGCGTGTCTCATCTTGAAAAGCTGTTATCACTTTCAGTCCTTCTTGCCGATCTCTGGGCAGCCACCAGTCCAGCTGGTCCCTGGAAGTCACTTTCCCTGGCCTCTTCCCACACCCGCACCCTGGCCTTCCAGCCGCTACCTCTCGGCCGCTCCTCTAGGAAGTCTTCCAGGCCAGCTTCCATGCAGGGAGCCTCTGCCCACCTGCTATTTATTCCTCAGGAGCCCACCCTGGGCACTGTGCCTTCTCTCTTGCAAGGTGACCCTACACACTTGTACTTCTTTAGCTACCTAGCTGGTAAATTCCAAAGTGGTATCTCTGGCTACCAACTTCTCAGACTTCTCAGCCCTGAACTCACAGCCGTTTGGACACCTGACCACTGGTACCCATAGGCCACTGGTGGGTTCCCTGCTCTCAACACTTGATGCTGCTGCTTGATTTTTGCTACAATCATTACAATCCAGCCACCAATGACAACATTCCACATGTAATGCCTCCCTGCCGCCCATAACTGCAAGCTCCAGGAGTTCATACACCTGTGGCATAGCAGGTGGAGCTGCAGCCCACCGCACCAGCAGCTTTTAAGAGCAGCGGTTCCAGTCCCAACTGTTCCACGTTCAACCCAGTTCCTGCTAATGTATCTGGGGAATCAGTGAAGACTGCCCAATTATTTGGGTCTCTACACTACCACGGGAGATCTGAAAGAAGCTCCTGCTCCCTGGCTGGCTCAGCTCCCACCATTATGGCCCTTTTGTGAATGAAATAGCAGGTGGAAAATATCTCTCTCCTCTCTCTGCAATCTGCTTTTCAAATAAATAAATTGATTTAAAAAAAAAAAAAAAAGCCTGCAAGTTCTAGCAGGTTAGCCTGTGGGATGCTCAATTAACTGCTGTGGTCTGAGTTCCTCACCCGGTATATGACCCTTAACTTCCAGTTCCCACTGTTAAAAGAATAAACACGCTTCTCCCTTTCCTCCCTCTCCCCAGTATCCGAATCTTGCCTCTCTTCTGTCTCAGCACCAGTGTCGGCCCCTCTCTGCTCTACCAAGCCACTGCCATTCCATCACACGACTTACCGTGCGCTGCCTTGCATCATGCAGAACCACCCTGAAACATCACCTCTTCCACAGGGATTACAAGCTCTACAGGACAAAGAAAATCAACACAAACATGTTTCCCAAATGCCAATGTTTCATAAAATACTCTAGCAATTATTTTAACACTAACTTTGCAATCTCCAAAGAACTTAGCCTACTAGCAAAATTAATGTGTTCATTTCCATTCAAGTCTGCCACTAAGTTCTGAGACACTCTTACTTGACCTTGACTTAAACCATTAGCAACTGAACAGATTAAAATGTACACAGAGCCCATTTCTACCTCACTAAAGGACAGCACTCTGCGAAATAAGATAGGCAAAAATCAAAACCAAAAACCACAGCGAGACCTGTATTTAAATTCAAATATCCCAGAGCCTAGGGAATTGTTCCATGAAAAATAAAAATTAAAAAAAAATTCAAATATAATCTTGTAAACACTTTTATGATGCTTTCTTCTCAGCTCTTCTCACAAAATAATGATTAAAAATGACTTTCCAAATACTTGAATTTCAACAAATTTTGCCTAAAAAGGAGGTGCTTATACACACACAAACATGCATAAATATAGAATTGAAAAAAGCTTCACCATAAGAAATCTCTTCCTAAAACCTAACTGAAAGTTTGCCCATAAACTAAGCAGACTTTCACATGACTCACAGAAATAATTTCCTATTACTGAATTATATCAACCACTGGGATTAATATCTGAAATTCAATATCTGATGACTGGGATACCCAGCCCGATGCCCTCCCACCAGCCTGGGACTCTTTGACAGATTGTCCAGCCACCACAGGCATTGCTACCAAAGAACTGAGCTCATCACACATGACATTGGAGACCCTGCAAAATCTAAACCACACATCTCCTTCCGGGTCCTTCTTTCCCCTCCCCTGTGAGCCCCTCACCTCCCCAGCTTTTCCCAGTTGATTAGCACAGCAAGGACACGGTTCCAATACACTTCCACACTTTCCTGCCCTATGAACTGGCTCAGTACAATTCAATCTGTTTACCAAGCTCCGCTTTTGCTTCCTCTATGGAGATGTGTCCAATTCCCTTCACCAAATCATCCCATTGTTTTACAGCACTTACCCCAGACTGCCTCATAGTATAGTCCTGTGTGCACACGTCTAGCTCCTGCAGACTAGCAGCTCCTCGACGGCAGGGTCTGATGGACAGCCATTTCTTTGCCCTTCAGGGCAGGGCAGCCTGCACACAGTGAGTGGCCAGGAAATGTTACCATCTAGCCCACAGTATATGTTTCCCTTCAATGTATATCCACAACAGAGCTGCATGCCCAAAGCCTCAGGATTCATGCAACAATGAATGAGACTACACACATGGACATATTGCCTGCAGGACCCATCATACATATAAAGACTTGCTTTAAAAAGAAATGGTAGAGTTAGGTTCCTAACTGCAGCGACGCGAGGGAGTGTGCAGAGCTAAGGCACCAGTCAGTCACATAACAGTGAGTGCCAGCTGCACTTTTGCTAGCAGATCCTCATGGATATATCAGCTAGTGAACCATGAAAACAATGATCATGAAACTAACCTATCAGAGGGGTCCTGAGGCTAGGCTGCGGCTGCAAACTTTAATTCAAAAGTCAAGAAATTGGCAGCCACTGGAACATTCTTCCCTGCCCGTCTACTAGGCTAGAGTAGGGAAGCAGGAGCCACTGGGGGAGGTGCCGGGGTAGTTCCCAAGGGGCGTAAAGGGAGTTGCACAATGTGACCACACTTTTCCAGGCAGACGGGGCACTTGTCCCCGGCAGATGGGCCACTACTGCGGATTCACCTGTTGGCATCTCCCGCTACTCCCGGGAGCCCCACGAGGCGAGCTTCGCGGGACCAGGCCCGGACCACAGCGCGCACGCCACAAGTAAAGGCAAAGTCTCCTTTCTCACTTCCAAGTATCCATGGGATCCGGGCCTAGGGTCACTCCTTTGCCCTCAGCTGAAGACCTAAAGGAGAAGACGCGGGGCAGCAACTCCCAGGCGCAGCTCCGGAGCCCAGCCACGTCTCAATGCAGCCATCGGAAGGAACCACTCCCTCTTTCAAGCCCCGCCAAGTGTCCCTTTTACCTACGAAAGGCTCTCAGATCGAGGTCTCCGTCCCAGCCAAGACAGGTTAACACCGCAGCAGCCACCAAGACAGTGGTGCAGCACGCACCTCCGGAACAGGAAACCGAGGGAATTAAAAACCAAGCCTGAGAAAACCGGACCCAGGCAGAGAAAACTCACTGCAGCCCCTGGAGCGCAGGGATTGGGGAGTCAACAGAAGCGACAGACCTGTTCACCAATCGCCTGCGTCGAGCTCCTTCCAGGACCCGCCCCCGCTCTCTAGGTCCTCCAATCCGAAAGCGCAACCGGGTGAGCGCGCGTTTCCGCCGGGAGCGCGCGGCGGGGGCGCGCGGCGGGACTCGTTGTGTCCCAGGGCTTTCCTGGTCCCCTTCGCGCGCGGAAAACATGACTGCCTCCCCGGGAGAGCGTGCTCGCCTGCGCCACTACCCGGAGCTGCCGGTGTGGGTGGTGGAAGACCATCAGGAGGTGAGCGGGCGGCTACAGGGCCAGGAAGACGGGCGACGCGAAGCTTCGGATCCGCTTTCCGTGGCTGGGAGGGTTTAAGGGGGTTATAGGGACTCCAGAATGACTGACTGGAAAGATCTGACTTCGATGGGGCAGTTGCCGTGGACGTGAATCCCACTGAGCTCAAGTCAGCCAGCCCCTGGGGTGGTAGGGATTCGAACCGGGGTGGTCTGAAACGGGGACCCATTGTAAAGAGTACAGTTCTGCAGAGTCTTCTGTAACAATTACAAATAATTACACGTAAGAATCCTTCCTTCACAACGTCTTGACTTTGATCAGGCTGACCCTGGTGACTTCATGCCCTCCTTCAGATTTACAACCCAAGAACAGGTGCACTTCAGCTCGTTTCTCTACTGTTAGTCAACTTTCAAAAGCTAAAATGATGACTTAAGGCAGACACAGACAGGTTTTTGAATTGCAGTGTGGCAAGGCATTTACGAAAGTTACCTTGGTTCTTGTCTCACACTTCTTATGTAGACAATGTCAGTAAACAAAGAAATATTCCTGTTATGAAAAAGACAGATTCTGGCTGAACTCATACAAACAATCACATTGCCAGATAGAAACTCCCAAAATCCTCAGAAAAGCTGTTCTGTGTTTCAGGGGAACCAGATGAGGGGAAAGTGAACATTTTATCCACACACAAAAGTTTCCCAAAGTACTGAATATTAGAATACAGGAAGTGTATTTTTATATATACAGCCAGCAATATCTTAACTTATCCAGTTCACCAACCTTAAAGAGGTCAGAAACTTGTCTCCACAGATCTGTTAACATTTTCGAAATTGCAAACTACTGGTAACGTACAACTTTAAATAGCTTAAACTCATTAATTGGCAAAACCACGTGTACTTGGTCCACGTAGCATTTTGAAAGCACCTGGAGGATTTTATAATACTTCTTGGCAATACTTTGCATGTAATTCACATAGCCAAGTTAGTCATTACCTTTATCAGAGGAAAGATACAGCTGTCTTCACATTCCTCTCACTTTGAGATTCCCTGAGGGCCCACACGGAATCACAGTGCCAGAGGAACCATTCTCACAAATACGGCGAAAGACCTGCCAAATATCCAATCAGAAAAGGATTTCTCATCACCACAAAATAATATCTACCCGTTTAGTCAGATTACAGTTACAATTTACAGGTTACAGATCAGATTCACACAAAGTCATCACTCAGATATTTCAAAGTAATTATGTATATAAAAAAATTTTTTTTAAACTTTAATCTTTTAAAAATCAGCTCTTCCCAACTGTGAAATAGCACTCAGCCAGGGGACTGTTACATTAGAACTCTGACTAGCAGTGGCTGTCTCGGCACAGGGCCTGTTGAGGTAGTTTTAAGACAAACGGAAGACACGTGGACATCAGAGACAGGCGACCACCACGCTCTCACAGACCAAAACCCTGACACAACCCAAACCTGACAGACACAATCCAGACCCAATCAGAACTTGACGGCAACCAAATCTCGACAGACGCAGTCCAGAACCCTGACACAAACCCAGACCCAATCGGAAGCCAGAAATCTGAAGACCCAGACCTGATGGGAACCCAGAAACCTGGGGACCCAACCTGACGGGCCGTAAGGACGTCTGGTTCTGACCTTGACTCCAGAAGTTGTGTTGTGTCCAGCCTTCTGAAGAGTCCCAGATGAGTACTCAGAAACAGAAACGAATGGTGGGAGGCCTGCTTGTGGCTAAACTCACCTGTGCCCAGTCGTACAGATGGCTGCTCCAGAAGGTCGGTGCAAATCCAGAGCCAGGAAGCCGGGATCACATTAAGGCTTCTCGGTGGTCTCCTGAGACCGCAGTGCCAGGTTCCAGAGCGCGGAGTGATCACAGCCTCCGACCAGGGGTCTCATCTCGCTGGGGCCTCCAGAATGTTGCGGAATGCGAGAGAGATCACGCTGGACCCAAGCGTAGGATGTTGGAAGGGGTCTTCACTGCCCAAGCTTGTTGACAGCAGCTCCTGCTACACTGGAGGGCCAGTGCGTGGAGCCCCTGAAGTCGGGGGGGTTTTTAAGCGCTCATCCTCGGGTCAGAGGAGAACCACACAGGGCAAAGCTTCCTTGTGCAAGAGGCAGGAAGGGAGTTACCAGAGCCCAAGGATTTTTTGTAGTTCACCTCATCTAGTACAATAGGAGTCAGGAGGCGCCTTCAGTTAACTTGCATCATCCGAGAGGAGGTAGGAAGGGTGGGAAGCGGACTCTGTTTCTGCACACGGCCCAGTGGCAATTAACCTGACAAGCAGTGTTAGCCATCAGTGGCTGCAGGTGGAGCAAGTGTGGGTTAGAGGGCGCTTCCAAAGTCAGTACACCTGAACCGTTAGGAGACTGAGAGGACAAAGGGCGCCAGCAAGGACAGGAGGCCTAGGGTACTGTGAATGGTGAAGCAGCCTGTGGTTCGGGAGTGCTCCTTCTGACCTGTTGCCCTTGAGGTAGGGGGGCAGGAAGGCGTCCAGGGGTGCAGGCTAGAAGTTCGAAGGACAAGGCAAAGCCTCAGTCACCTTCTGAGCCTTCTGCTAAGAGCACGTGTTGTGTTTCCCGCGTTGTACTAACTTGACATGCTTCAGCTGGGCAGCGTCTCGTTTGGTACTTCCCCCAGGTTTCAGCATCTATTCTGAGTGTGTGCCTGTGTGTCTTTGTACAGGTTCTGCCTTTTATATACCGGGCCATAGGCTCCAAGCATCTTCCCACCAGAGATATCAGCTTTTTACATTTTGACTCCCATCCGGACCTGCTCATTCCTGTGAACATGCCAGCAGACACCGTGTTTGATAAGGACACACTTTTTGGGTAATATTTGGTTTCATTAATCATCTTCTTCATGTTTGAAATAAGATTTTCAGTAGATACTAAGCAGTTACAGGGAATAGAGTTTGCTATTTTGTTTACCATTTTCCTGTTACTGTTTTTACTTTTTTAATCAAGAGGTGTATTTTCTCTCTGCTGGTTCACTCCATAAAGGCCTACAGAGCTGGGGATGGGCCAGAGTCAGGAGCTGGGAACTGCCACGGGGCCTTGGACAGAGAACAGGAACCCTAGTCCTTGAGCCATGGCCGCCGTCTCCCGGAGCGCCAAAGCGCACATCAGTGGGTAACTGGACTCCAGCACTCAGACCCAGACACTGTGCTGTGGACGTGGGCGTCCTGAGTAACACCAAATGCCCAGCCCACAAACATTTTCCTTAAAAGAGCCAAATAACAAGTTTGTTTGCTGAGCCTCTGATCATACGTTATAACTGTTTTCTTTCTGCACTTGGATATAAGCAACCACAGACACTGTAAACAGATGGCGGAGAGTCATATTCTGGTAAAACTTTATTTACTAAAAATGGCCAGGCCAGTGTTTGCGGACATCTGGTTTGGAATAGAACACAGGAATAGAAGCATTGTTAAAAAAATTGCTGATTTCTTCTTTACAAAAGACAACTGGGTTTCTCTATTTGCTTCTGAATTCAGTCTGTTGCTATATTTTGGTTGAAAGATGAAAGTTCAGGTTTTAGTAAACGTGTAAGAGCAAAAATAATATCCTGATAGTTTTTTAAGATAGCAGGGAGTCTTCCTTTCTTCTGCACAAAAATTTAAGAAGTTTTGTGGCAAAAGATAGCTTCTTAAAGCATAGTTGGAGTGTAGACCCCAAGAGTTTAACCTCAAATCTGAAATACGGGTAGTTCATTGCTCACTTCCTTTCAAGAAAAATGGTAACTGACTTGCAGTCCCGCCACAGGTACAGCCCCCTAAGAGAATCACTGCATCTGAAAGTGCAAGTAGCAGCGCCTCCTTGCGCTTGCCAGTTAGTAGTACGGTGACTGGTAGTAGCTACGCGCTGCTGCCTTGCTTGATCTGAGGACAGAGTTGGCACTCAGGTCAATCCACGGGAAAGCAAACTGAGGCTTCAGTGTGCAAAAACAAATAGGTACCCCGAAAAGCTCTCAGGAACCCTCCAAGAAACCACACCCTGGGACCTAGTATCTTAAAATATAGTTGTGGATAAAATAACAATGGGGAGGGGTGGGAAACACTAACAGTTTTCATTTTTCTCTCCATTTCTTTCCCAGGGAACTAAGTATTGAGAACTGGATTATGCCTGCAGTGTATGCTGGCCATTTTTCCCATGTTGTGTGGTTTCATCCCACGTGGGCTCAGCAGATGAGAGAGGGAACCCATCACTTTTTAGTAGGCAAAGACACTTCTACCACCACAATCAGGTAATACCTTCCTGTTCATGACTGCGAAGGGGGCGAATGCTTCCAGCTCACTTTGAATCCTTGTAATCTTGTGATAACTTGAAAAGTATCTCCACACACAAGCAAGAACCGATTGACTCTCAGTGCTTCAAACACCGAGCAGGGTGTCCACTCGCTGACCACTTTTACGCTCTGTTTCTACTTTGTTGCTGTTGGAATTTTGAACTTGAGGATAATGATGCTCGGGCTTTATTGATGACCAGCTCTGCCCAGTCACTGGAGTATGTTACAGAGTTATATATTCATATTATATTTCACTATTTCCTTCCACTGTAACTGTTCTCTGTTGAATCTCCAACAAGTAACAGTGGAAAAGCACAATTATCTCTTGGCTGTTTTTTCAGATTTATTTAATGTACTTGAAAGATAAAGTGATCACAAGACTGGGGCTGGAGCAGGTTGAAATCAGGAGCACAAACGCCCTCTGGAATCTACCATGGGAGAAGCAGGGGCCCAACCATTTGGGCCACCATTTACTGTTTTCTTGGAAGCATTAACAGGAAGCTGGCTCTGGAGTGGAGCAGCTGGGACTTGAACTGGCACTCCAGTAAAGGATTCCAGCCTTGCAAGCCACGGCTTAGCCTGATGCATAATGGCAGCCATCAATATTTTCTTGTTTTGTTTTTGTGGGGTGTCTTGTTTCATTTTCTTGTCATTTACCTAATAAGTCCAGTGGTTGAAGGAATAGATGCTGGGCTTTAATATTGTCAGTTTGATTAGTTGTAGGTAATTGTTTGATTTACATTGAATTGTAGCGTCATCTGACTTTTGAGTTATATGTACAACTGTTTTTGTTGTGAGCCAGTTAAGCAGTGTTCTCTATATCCTAGGATGCCTTTAGAAAGAGCAATATGTTCTTGACTTTACATTCTTTTTGTGATAGGACGAATATTTAAAGCACTGTAACCATAACTTTCCAGAACCTGAAGGACAGTGGTATGAAATGGTAAAAGATTAAAGTGAAATGCAATGTCCGGCATCAGGGCATAGTAGATTAAACCTCTGCCTGCAGTGCTGGCATCCCATCCAACATAGTAGCTGGTACATGTCCTGACTGCTTCATTTACAATCCAGCTCCCTTCTAATGGCCTGGGAAAAGCAGTGGAAGATGTCCCAACTCTATGGGTCTCTGTCACCCATGTGGGGGACCTAGTTGAAGCTCCTGGCTTCAACCTAGCTCCACCCTGGCCATTGGCAGCCATCTGAGGAGTGAACCAGCAAGTGGCAGATATCTCTTACTCTGTATATTAAAAAGAACTAAGTAAAACTCTCATTATTAAAAGAATGAAAATATACATTAGGGTATGTAGCCTTGGTCTTTCTTAGGATGGTAATTTTTAATATTCTCACACAGGAATGGGCATTGGAGTGCAGTGGGTTAAGCTACTCCTTGTGACTCCTGCATCCTTTTTTAGCATGCCAGTTTGAGTCCCAGCTTCCCTACTTCTAATCCTAAATGGAGTTCTGGTCTCCTGGGATGCCAGCATTAGAAGGAGCAGCTTAATGCACTGTGCGACAACACCAATGCCTTTCTTTCTGATGTTGGAGTTCCGTGCACACAAGCCCGTGTTGGAAGGATTCTGTGTCCTTCTGTCTTTCAGCTCCACCATCTCTAGAGTACCGTCCTCATTGTCAGCCTTGCCATTGCCATGTTCCTGTATCACTCAGCAGGGAAGGGCAGAACAAGGCTTTGTCTTCCAGCTCTCCGCCAGAACTCACTCAGATGGTCCCTTGTCACCACAGGGCAGACGATGACATGCAGTCTTTCCTTGGGACGGTTGTATGCTCAGCTAAAACAGGAACCACAGGTGTTAGCAGCATTCAGTGTGTGTGTGATAAACGTGCTCAGATCTCTGCAGTGGCTGCGTGACATGTCCACTAATCTGCCCATTCTTTAAAATAGCCTTTTTCCTCTGAACCAGGGTTACAAGTACAGATCACTACTTCCTCAGTGATGGCCTTTATGTACCGGAAGAGCAGCTAGAGAACAAAAAACCTGTGCGATTGGATGTCATCACGATGGGCCCCGATCCACACTGCAACAAACAAGAAGAAAGCGCTGCTGCCTGCTCGGCCAAGAAGCCCAAGCTCGCCCCGGAAGGCACAGAGAGCCCTGCCTCTGCTCATGCTGGCTCTCACCCGGAGGCGCTCGGAACAGCCTCGGACACACAGAGAAGCCGCCCGTCTGGCCTGGAACTGTCCTGTGTGTGTTCTAAAAGTCAGGAATGCCAGGCTGCCGTCAGCTCTCAGGAGATTCTGGAAGTTTTAAAGAAAGGGGATGGATTTGTTTTAGATATTGACTTAGATTTCTTTTCTGTTAAGAATCCCTTCAAGGATATGTTCACTCAGGTAAGTGTGGTTTTTTTCAGGAAGAGGTCTTGAGATTGTGCAACATTTCCCTAGATCTGTGATCAGCAGACTTTTCCAACAGCCATACTGCAATTATTTCACACTTTGGGGACCACATTCGCTATCACATATCTTTCTTTCTTGTTGTTGTTGTTTTAAGCCTCTTAAAATTATATATACCATTTTTAACTTGCGTGCCATTAAAGACAAGCTGTCAGCCCTGGGTTGCTGACCCCTGCTCTATATAGTATTCATTATCATGTGTTTATTAAGGGATTAGTATGTACATAAGGGGTTGAAAAATGGGATGTTATATATAAAAAAACTATATAACCATGACATAATAGGTTAAACCTCTGCCTGCAGTACCTACATCACATATGGGCACTAGTTCAAGTCCCAGCTGCTCCCTTTCCAGTCCAGCCCCTACTAATGAACCTGGGAAGGCAGCACTGAATGGCCCAAGTGCTTGAGCCCCTGCCACCCATATGGGGGACCTGGAAGAGGCTTCTGGCTCCTAGCCTCAGATCTGCCAAGCTCTAGCCTTTGTGATCATTTTGGGAGTGAACCAGCAGGTGGAAGACTTTATTCTGCCTTTCCTTCTTTCTTTGTGCATCTGCCTTTCAAGTAAACAAATATATCTTTTAAAAAGAAGTTTGTGAAAAATGGAACAAAACTATGTTTCTTTTTAAAAAGTAAGTAAATAAATTTTGACTCTTGGTGTCTGGCACTGTGATGTAACAGGTTAAGCCAGCACCTACAACATTGGCATCCCACGTGGATTCCCATTGGAGTCCCGACTGTTTCACTTGCATTCTGGTTCCATGTTAGTGTGCCTGGGAAAACAGCAAACACAGGGGATACCTGCATGAAATGCCTGGCCATGCCTGGCATATACATGCCCTCTCTCCAACTCTGCCTTTCAAATAAATACAATACATTCTTAATGTTAAAATATTTTAACTCGTGGGTAAAACGTCTTCTTCAAAATGCTTCTAGAACAGGATTTGGGCGCTGAACCCCCCGTACAATGGAGTTAGGTAGCAGTGCTGAGCAAGGGAAGACATCTGGTTGAATCTACACACAGCAGGTGGCAGTTCTTGCATTAAGTAGAGTCTCCTGAGCTCTGGGGCTGCCAGTTGGCCTCCAGGGTCGCTTCTGTGTTCCAGAGTTCTCTTTTGATGCTTAAAAAAAAAAAACCCTGCAAAGTAAACACAAAGAATTGTTTCATTTCTGTTATTAAAGATACAAATATGTCCTTTAAACAGCTAAAATCTATTTAGATCCGAGGATATAACCATCTGTGTAGTGGAATGTTATTAGAAATATTTTCATATCATGAGTGATCAGTCACCTAGTTGTCTTTGATAGCCAATATTTATATATTAAACTTGTGCTCAGCTGACTACCGCTTCCCTAAAGATGTGAGGTTTGCAATAGAAATCTAAAATATACACTGTTCTCCCAGGCAAAATTTTAATAATTATCTAACATGTTCCATATCATAGGCAAGAATGTTTTTTGCTTAAAGTATGTTCTTTTGTAAAAATTAACTTGTTTTTCCTGATTTTTAGATGTGTTTTGTTTTCTAGGAGGAATACAAAATCTTACAAGAACTGTACAATTTTGAAGGGCCTAGTGCCGACCTATCGGAGGTATTTCCCAATTGTTTCTTTTGGGTTTTATACGAAGTAAATCATTATGTAATAGTATCCTACAAAAGGACTGTCCAAAGTCTGTGTCCATGCGTATTATCACTAGGTTTTATGGCGATATTCATAGGCCTGGACACTCGTGTTTTAAGGAATCGAGCCAAGATTTTCACATTATAGTGGGATATTGTTGTTTTGAAAGGATAGCTGAACAGTCTCAACTTTTATCTGTTTACAGGAAGATCTGGTAGATGTTGTTGATGCTCGAATTCACCAGTTAGAAGACTTAGAAGCTGCCTTCGCTGATTTGTGTGATGGTGATGATGAAGAAACTGTACAAAGATGTGCTTCGAGATCTGGGTAACACTCCCTACATTCTCCCCTAACTGTATGATTTTTCAGTCCTAAATATCTTCTTTTTTATGGTGATTTTTACATAGCTTTTTACTATGATGTTTACATAGTTTGTTGGTTTTTTTTTATGATGATGACTTTTACATAGTTGATAAGGGTCAAGGGCTATAGGAAGGTGGGTGAGATCACCATTTTCATGTTCTCTCTTTTTTTTTTTTTTTTGTTTCTGTATCTGGGAGAAGGAGGGGAGACAAGGAGAGAAGTCACACCCAGCCTCCCAAACGCCTCTGCACCCTAGGTCCAGCCACCTCGTACCACTCGAGGGTCCCCACTTTGGGGTATGCTCTGAGGGTCCTGCTCAAGAGGTTACAATAGTTCAACAGTTCTGAATTACTGCTGATCTCACTCCAAGCATGATGAAATCTCTCCAGAATCCACTGACTGACATAGTCCACCTTAGAGTCTCCATTTGCCCAGATATTCACTGCCAGCACTTGCCTGGGGTAGTTGATTGATTTGTTCTGTCCTCCATCTTCTCCTTTGTCCTCCATGTACACCTGGATATGTGTCCGCTGCTCCTTATAAGCCACTGAGGAAGCCCAGCTCTGACACATGCACTCCACACATGGTCAGACCATGGAACCTGCAATTCTCTCCATGTTTGGGGTTCTGAATCCAGTGATTCAGTTGGAGGGATCACCAAAGAAACTTCATCAAAGGTGATCCCAGACCACCTGATTCTTGTGCATGTCTGCTGATAAGGGTCCAGCACAGTCCGTTGCCTTAATCAGCTATGTACATGCCGGTGATTCCAATTGCTAGGTCAGTTCTGCCTCCAGCCCTGTCTTCAACACAAACTAATGGGTGTTATAACCCAGCCCAACCCTGCCCACCACACACTCGGCCTTCACATGCATGAGTGGGAGCAGCCACCTACTTGGAGCAACCCACAATAACTCCCACTAGGCCCAACCCTGCGCTGGTTCCCATGCTTGCCACTATGTACAACAGACTGGTCCAGTCTGTCCCACATCCCATTCAGCTCACATATGTGTCGATGGGCATTGAAGCCTAATTTAACCCAACCAGCCCCACTATCTAGCCCACACACATGCCAACAGGTGTCAGTCTCTGTCTAGCTATGTCTGCCCCAGTCCTGGTTTTCTTGCTCACCAGTCAGAGTGACAACCCAAGAGGGAGGTGCCTACTGTTTCCCTGCTGGGCTCACTCCCACTCCCAAAACTTATACTCTCTAGGTGGTTCTGCAGTTTTGCTTGACAGAATTTGCCCGTGTCAGCATCTGCCAGCTGATGCTGCAGCAAAGTCCAACCAACCCACATCCATTCTGACTTATGCATGCACCAGAAGGAACAGTCAACCTAGCCTGGCATTTCCCTAATCCAGTTCACATGAAGCCAATAGGTGTTATAGCCCTGCCTGGTCTGGTCTGCCACCATCCCAACTTGTGCTCTCCAGTGGGAGTGGTGGTCCAGTAGTGGAGCCCTTCACATTCCCGCTACTGGCTTCACCTCCTCCTCCCTTTGGTCTCACGTGTGCCGGTTAGGTGCTGCGGCCCAGTCTGGCATGGCCCACCTCACCTCAGCATTTGCCAACGGGTGCTGTATCTTGGCTTAGCCCAGCCCCAATTCCAACTCGTGCTGGTGGGGGCTACAGGCTAGCCCCACTTAGCCAGCCCAGAGTCCTAGCCCTCAGGTGAACTGGTTTGTGTTGCGACCCACCCTGGCCTGACCCATACTCCATTCTGGTGCTCAGATTCACCAATGAGTGATATGAACTGACCCAGCCTGGTTCACCCCTGGCCTGTACCAGGTATACACAGATGGGTACCATTACCTGGCCTGGTCTGGTCTGTTCCCCAGTGGTTTCTCTGACCTCACCTGGCTTGGCCTTTGCCTTTAGATGCTATAGTCTGACCTCACCCAGCCTGTCCCCACTCCCAACTCTTACCTGTGGGTGCTAGAATCTAGCCCTGCTCAGACTGCTCCCATCCCGTGCTCATGCAAACTGGTAGGTATGACAGACCTGCGCTCCAACCTGGTTTCTTCACTTGCCAGTGAACTAAGGTTCGCTCAGCCCTGCCCAGTCCGCCCCCTTCCAAAACCCACCCACAGATTTGCCATCAGTTGGAGCCATCTTTCCCAGCTTGCCCAACTTCCAGGCCTGTTCCACAAGCTCACCAACAGGAGCTATGATCCACTAGGGGAGTCTCCCACGTTACCCCACTCAGCCTACTCCCAGATCCAGATCTCACACATTCCAGCAGGTGCTAGGCCCTTGCCCGGCATTGCCTGCCCCTTTCCTGGGGAAATCTTTAATATCAGAGCTGGTATAAAAGAACTTATTAATGTAAGTATTGTAGTTATTTTTCTCTAAAACAGTTCTTCACAGATATATGAAGGAAACAATTTGGAACTAATAGTCTTACCCATTTTCCTGCAGCCCTTGAACCTTTTTACCCTGGTTAGCTGTGTAAAGAGTAAAGATTGTCAAAAATATAATAAAATTTAAACAATGAAAGTTCTTCAGATTACATAAACTCAGAAGGCCAGAAAACTGAAATAAAACCATCTAACTTTATCTCCATGAGCATAGGAAGACCACATCTGACTTATTTTAAAATTGATCTCCCACAGACCTGTGAAATGATTCTGTAAGGCGTAAATAGAAGGAAGAAATCAGCTGTGAGAAGTTAACAAGAGGATGGAAGTGCTTTCTCTGCTTTTCTCCGTGTATCTGATCTGCCTCTCTAATAAAAATAACTAAATCTTAAATTTATAGTGTCTGGGGACACTTATAGTTGTGGTATTATAGGTTAAGCCTCTGTCTCCAATGCCAGCATCATGTATGTGCTGATTTAAGTCTTGGCTGATCCACTTCCAATCCAGATCCCTATTAATGTGCCTGGAACATGGCAAAAGATGGTCCAGTTCCTTGGGTACCTGTACCCATGTAGGTGACCCGGAGGAATCTCCTGGCTCCTGGCTTTGACCAGCCCAGCCCCAGCCAGTGTTGCTATTTGGGGAGTAAATCAGTGGATGAAAGATCTCTCTCTGTCTTTCCTTCTCTCTCTCTCTAAATCTGCCTTTCAAATAAAAATAAACAGATCTTTAAAAAATAGTATCTCAGACAAAAAATAAAATAGTGTTATTAAAAAGGATTTTTCAAATCTCCAATAGATTACAGAAGAAACTAGAATAGCCTTTAAGGAGAGGAATCATGTGGCTAAAAGATAAGTGAATAAGTGTGAAATACCTCTTCTTTTAACTTTTTAAAAATTATTTATTTTATTGGAAAGTCAGATACACAGAGAGAAAAAGAGAGGAAGATCTTCCGTCCGATGATTTCACTCCCTGAGTAGCTGCAACAGCCAGAGCTGAGCTAATTCGAAGCCAGGAGCCAGGAGTTTCTTCCGGGTCTCCCACATGGGTGCAGGGTCCCAAGGTTTTGGGTCGTCCTTGACTGCTTTCCCAGGCCACAAGCAGGGAGCCAGATAGGAAGCGGGATCACTGGGATTAGAATCAACACCCATATGGCATTCTGGCACTTGCAAGGCAAGGATGTTTGCCACTAGGCTACTGTGCCAGGCCCAGAAATACCTCATCTTGCTATGTGTATTATCACCTATTCAAAATATCCTTTGTAATTTCTACCAAAAAATTCAGAAACATCTGTGGTTTTTAGATGTGATAAAGCTTGTCACCGAGGAAAGCAGTGGTATAAAAGAGTAGTTGTTAATAGTTGATTCATGTTAGTAAGCACTAGCCAAGTGTTTAACATCCGTTCGTGATTTTTCTCTTCAGTGTTGGCAGCTAGTTCTAAAAATAATTCCTTCATTTTGAAGCTAGGTTGAAAGAGAGGCACAAGCCACAGGATAGGCGTATTCCTAAAAACATTAAAAAGATTCTCAAGTTGTGATTTCTTGAGTCTTAAGCACAGTTTAAAGTGTAGCAACAACAGAGAAGGCCTAGAATCCTTCAGCAGTCCTGAATGTAGCTCAGAGACAGGGCTGCCTTGCTGAGCGAGGAGCCTGCTGAGCATGCCCAGTGAGCACCTTCTCTAATGCAGGGAGATACTGTGAGACTCAGGGGAGACCCCTCCAGCAGCCATCTCCCTGGGGGAAGGAGCCCTTTCTGTGCCTAAGGGAGTAATGCAAGTGTTAGCATTCAGAAGCCCAGGAAAGTAACAGACTAAGTGGATAGGCAGGCCCTTGTGCATCTGTGGTTTTGCTTAGTTGGTTGTTTTACCTATATTAGCAAATTACTGAATATCAGTTGAACAAACATTAAAATACTACAGAGAAGCGCCAGCATTGTGACATAGCAAGTAAAGCTGCTGCTTCCGGTACTGGCTTCCCTCATGGGCAGCAGTTCAAGTCCCAGCTGCTTTAATTCCAATCCAGCTCCCTGCTAATGGCCTGCAAAAAGTAATAGATCATTTTCGTGCTTGACCCTCTGCACTCAGGTGGGAGACCTGGATGAAGATCCTGCCTCCTGATCTGCAGTCACATGGGGAATGAACCAGCAGGTGTGAGACCTCTGCCACTTGGTCTCTCCCTCTGCAAGTCTTTCAAAGACAATTCACTTAATTTAAAGATTCACTTATTATTTTTATTAGAAAGGCAGATTTACAGGAAGAAGTTGTAGAAAGAAGGATCTTTCATCTGCTGGCTGCAACAGATGGAACTGAGCCAATCCAAAGCCAGGAGCCAGGACCCTCTTCTGGCTCCCCTGTGTTGGTTTAGGGTCCCTAGGTTTTGGGGCATCCTGTACTGTTTTCCCAGGACACAAGCAGGGAGATGGGTGGGAAGTGGAACAGCTGGGACACAAACCAGTACCCATGGAAAACAAGGATGTAGCCATTGTGTCAGGCCCAGAGTGTTGGGTTTCTAATCCAGCTCTCTGCTAATATTCCTGGGAAGGCAGCAGGTGCTGGTCCAAGTACTTTGGGCTCCTGTATGCATGTAGTAGAGCTGTACGGATTACCCCTAAGTTCAACCTGGCCCAGCACCTCTGTTGCAGTTGTTTGGAGAATAAAACAGGTAATTAAAGATTGTAGATTAATCTCTGTGTCTCTATCTCTCTTCCCATTTCTTTCCACCTCACCCTGTCACTCCACCTTTCAACTAAAACCTTCTAAGAACTAATAATTTTTAAAATCATAAAACTTGCAGTTTTTTAAAGAAAAAATATCATTTTATTGAGTGTTTTTAACCGTTTACACAAGCTGTAATCTTTTAGGAAGCATTTCTTTCTATTTATGACTACACTTAAACATTGTTTTTCATTTCCCGGACACCATGTCAAGCACATACTAATGGTAAATATTAAGTGTTTTGTATTATTTGGCACATTGTAGTTGTGATGTTTGTTTGAATGGAGTGAATTGCATATTGTTTGTTTGTTTTCAGAATGAAATCACTAGTTCCACTTGTACAAAGTTTAAAAAAACGGATGGAAGTTCCTGACTACGAAATGGTAAATATTAAGTTGTGCAAAATTGACCTTTATAAAGACAATTTTCCAAGTAGAAAAATTTTCTTTTTGTAAAGGTGGCTCATTTTTGTTTCTGTGAAGTCTAAATGAATTAAGAAAAGGACTAAATGAAAAAATACATACTTTCAGGAGCCAGGACACTGCTAATTATGACACATTTGAATTCCTTTCACCTCTCACAATCAAGGTTGCAAAAATAGCTGATGAGTCGCTTGTAGCTTCAAGTACCTTTAGTGGTAAAAAGGACACCTCTCACTTAGAGTCAAAATACATGTGTAGGTACAACTAGCTTGTCATACATAAAAGATACATAAAGGATACACTAGAAAATAATAAGACGGGAAGAATGCTTTTCTGTAGAGCTCCTCAAAGCTTTGAAAATGGGGCCAGGAGCCGTGGCTCCGCAGGCTAATCCTCCAGCTTTAAGCATCAGCATTCCATACAGGTACCGGTTCCTGTCTGCTCCACTTCCCATCCAGCTCCCTGCCCATGGCCTGGGAAAGCAGCCGGGGATGATGGCCCAAGTCCTCAGGACCCTACTCCCTCATGAGAAACCCAGAAGAGTTTCCTGCTTCCAGTCGGCTCAGTTCCAGCCATTATAGCCATTTGGGGAATGAAATCTGGCTTTCCAATAAAAATAAATAAATCTTAAAGAAATAAAAGCTTTGAATGTAGTATGAGTACATATATGTGAAAAGTAAATAGAATAAAATAATGTTAAAGGAAAAATGCTATGAAAAGGTTAGTATCAACTTCTTAGGATCTAAGTAAAATGTGCACTTTACCAGAAAATATGAATTATGACTGACAGAAGTACACCTAGAGAAACTAAATGAACCAATAGTCATAAAAGTTTTTAAGAAGTAGTTGAAACAATGACTGCTTACATTGGATGCACATAGTGTATAGGCGAGTTCTTCCATCAGGGAGCAGGTAACTTCTTTGACACAGAAATTGCATTGACATGCATTGCAGTTAAGACACCTATGTGCAACTGCAAGGTACCAGTTTGATCCCCATTCCTCCCTCCTGACTCCAGCATCCTGCTGACACAGGCCCTGGGAGGCAACAGAGACAGCTAGCATGTTTGCATCCCTGCCACTGATGGAGAAACTTGAATTGTAATCTGGGCTGTAGCTTTAGCACCAGTCATGGTGAACATTGACCCAGTAGCCAGCAAATGAAATATGCTCTCTCTCTTTTTGTCTTTTTTTCAAGGTAAAAAAGAAACACTACTAAGGCCAAAAAAAAAAAAAATCTATAAAAATATTTTTTTAAGTATTGATTTATTTTTATTTGAAAGACAGATTTACAGGTAGAAAGAGAGACAGAGATCTTCCATCCATTGGTTCACTCCCAAAATGGCTGCAAAAGCCAGAGCTGAGCCAATCAGGAGCCAAGAGCTTCATCCAGGTCTCCCAGGTTGGTGCAGGGCCATACTCTGCTGCTTTCCTAGGCCACAAGCAGGGAACTGGATAGGAAGTGGAGCATCCAAGACTAGAATCAGTACCCATATAGGATGCCAGCAGCTGCAGGTGGAGGACTAATCTGTTGAGCCACAACTTCAGCCCAAAAGCATTTTAAAAATTAACATTTTTCAGGGCCAGCATTTCAGAGCAACATGTTAAGCTGTCGCTCTAATGCCAACATCTCATTTGGGCACCTGTTGAGTCCCCATTGTTCCACTTCTGATCCATATCCCTACTGATTTCTCTGGAAGACACCAGAAGATGGTGTGAGTACATGGGGTAGAACACTGTGGATGGGCTGATGCAAGTCGCTGGGGCTCCTGGCCTCAGCCTGCCCCTGCCATGTCCACTGCAGCAATGGGGGAGTGAACCAGAGAATGAAGATCTCCCGTTCTCTGTCTCTCCCTTTCTGTAACTCCGCCTTTCAAATAAATAAATCTTTTTTTTTTTTAAGGAACCTTTTTCAGTACAACAAGTTCCTACAGCCTAATTTTTAATTGTACTATTTTCAGGTTCACCAGGCTGGGCTAACCTGTGATTATTCAGAGCTTCCGCACCATATCAGCACAGACCAAGAAATAGAATGTCTCATTCAGTCTGCACAACATTTCCTGAAAAGTCTACCCAAACCTACCCTTGTGACAATTGCGAGGTAAGCATGGTAGAGTAAATACTGGGTACCAAAGATGCCCACATGCTGGTGTCTGCAGTCTGTGAGAGGCCACCTCATGTGGCAGAACAAGCCTTGCCACATGATCTCATTCAAGCATTGCTGAGATGAAGAGGCCTCCCAGGTAGGACTGACACCATCACAAGGGCCTGTGGGAAGAAAGCCAGAGGATCCGAGTCAGAGAGCAGCTGCAACAGCCAGGGCTGAGCGGATCAGGAGCCAAGAGCATCTTCAGGTCTCTCACGTGGATGCAGGGTTCCAAGGCTTTGGGCCATCCTCCACTGCTTTCCCAGGCCACAAGCAGGAAGCTGGATGGGAAATAGAGCAGCCAGGATGGGAACTGACACCCATATGGGATCCTGGCAGGTACAAGGTGAGGATTTAGCTCCAGGCCCTCAATCCATCCTCTTAATGTCTTTCCTCAACCCTTGTCCAGAACCTGGTGTCACTGATCAAATCCATTCACATCTTAATTCAGCTGTAATTAGTAATGATTTTGAAACTGTCCCAGTGTGTCTCAAGTTGTATTTGTTAAATTCTAGAAAGACTCAATATGCAAATTCCTGGCCCACTCTACCTTGCTGTTTTCTCCTTCTTACTGCTTAGGAAACTAATACCAACCACTTGCATACATTTCATTTTGGTCCAAAATATAGATCCTTCACACTTTATCAGTTAGCATTTTTTTTTTAACAGTAGAATGTGTTAATGGATTGGAAAACTTCTACCCTGTTCATTGCTTGCCCTAGCATACAAATATTAAAAAAGAAGAAGAAGAAGAAAGGTACTCAGGCACCGAGATAAAAAGCCCTTGTGTTCCCAAATGACATCTCCCTTTTGAGGGACCAGTAGTCAGTGCGTAAGCATTAAGGCTCCTGCCTCATGCTGGTGCTTTTGAACCTTTGACCAGAACTTAGCAGTTCCGTGGCCCTGCGTGTGCTAATCTTTGTATTGGGTTCCTATAAAGGAGTGCTGACTTGACCCATTTTATAGAGTTGCTTGAGAACTTCAAAGAGTGTAAATGTCTGACAGAGGGTGACATTTTAGGAGCTTTCAGCTTTCATTTTCCCAGAACTCAGATCCCTTCATTTCTGTTTTACATTATTATCAATACAGGCAGGTTTTGCCTCCCTGCACAGCACGCTTTTCTCCTACTGTGTGTGTTTGTCTCTTGTCTTGGCTTAGGTCCAGTCTGGATGACTACTGTCCTTCAGAGCAGGTGGACAGCATTCAGGAGAAGGTGCTTGCCATGCTGCGCTCGCTCTACGGCCCTCTGCACGTCCACCTGGAGTTCCCCACAGAGCCGGCTCCCTCCTGAAGCACACCAAAGGCAGGCTCTAGTTCCATCTTGGTCCAGGAATGGGGTTTTCCTTAACTTACTTGTAACCGAGTCTTCCAGAGAACATTTTTTTATATTAATTTTCAGTTGAAATTGTTCAGGTATTTGGAATTTCCAAATGTCAGCTGTTGAGTGCTGGCAGCTTTTTGGCCTCAGGTCGTCTTGCGCATGGCAGAAGCCACTGCATAGCTTACCTGCTTCCCATCCATTCTATCATTGTCCTTTATGCTTTGGATTATTTTTTTGCCTTATATCCCTGGATCAGCTAGACAATGTGAGATTGGTTGATTCATTCATTCCACTAACTGATATTTATTCAGCACTTTCACATCATAGGCATATTAAGGGCTTGGTGTGTGGTCATGAGCAGAATAGATAAGGCCCCACTCCCTTTGGGTGAGAAAGATAAAAACTTTAAAATTCTGAGAAGTGTCAGGAAAGGATAACTACCCGGGCCTTATAGGAAAGAACATTGTCAAAAGCTGCTAGCAAAAACTCCCTGCCGGGCTGTGGAAATGTTGCAGAAAGTCTGCCTTTCCGAGTCTTGGCACGTGACCGGCCTTTTGCCAAACGCTCTTCAGTGTTGTCGGTAATAAAGAGATCGACTGAGTAAACTTCACTGGACAGAAATTGACCTTGAGGCAGGATTTGTTGGCTAGTCAAAGAAGCCCCTCAGGTACTACTTGTGGACATAGTTATCGTTGTTATCCCTAAATGCCACTACATTCGCCCCCTAGATTGATGAACCATTCAAATCAGCCTACCTTTGATGCAGATAGTAACCAAAAAGCTTAAGCCTTTACTTCTGACCTGCCATGAACACATAAGGACATAACTGTCCTCCTTCAGCCTCGGGGAGCCCAAGGCTGCCTGCCAGAGTCACTCTGCATCATGGAACCTTTCATTTTCTCAGTTTTAAGAATACCTTTTGTTCAATCATCATTTTCAACTATCTGCTTGATTGCTTTCCCTTTAAAAGATGGCATTGAAAGGAAAAAAAAAAAACCACAAATCACTCCTCAGTTCTGACCCAGCACTTACTTTAATTTTTGTGTGTACCCTTCGGGCCCTGTCCGCCTTTATACCTGTGGAGGTGCCTGTACCTGAAATGGAGAGTCCCCTAACCTATGGCTAACACTCAGGAACATAATACAAATGCCACTCAGTAGATGGCACCAGACTCCACTTTTCCAATGATTTTGTTTTCTCATTTCTTACCACCACCTTGACTGCCAGAGTAAAACTGTGGATGCTTCTGTGTATTGTGAAGAGGAAAACCAGCTAATTTAGCTTTCTGGTTTGGCACATTATTGTGTACCAAATTGGTTATATTCTCTGTAAAAATAAGAATTATAATATTGTGTTTATTTATTTTGGAATTTTTCTGTTGGGATTCAGTAAGTTAGATATTACTTTTATTTATGAGTAAATTATTTTTGTGTGCTAAAAATTCAGAGGTAAAAATATTAAATAGAACTATGGCAGTAATGTATTGTTTATCCTCTCAGTATATTGATGGCATTGATTTTGAGTTTAGTTTACTGGTATTATGATTCCCATGAGCTCTGATTATTTTAACTCAAATAAAAGCATCATATGGGAACATTCAAAGTTTTTAGTGCTTGTGCTCTATCATTGTCTGAGGAATACCGTTGAGCCTAAACGTACTTAGTGTATTACCTCTGTGTGCATCCAAATGGAAAGGTCACCATGACGCTATCCTGCATTTGTGGTTTAAGCGCAGTGAGCCACAAGAACATTGTTTTGGATTATGTACAAATATCATTAAGATCTAAGGATTTTAAGTTCTCCCTTTGATGATACTCATTGCTATGATTTTTTTTTTATCTCTAAAGATGCTTCCTTTAGATATCTGTGTGTCCTGGAGGTTCTCATGAAGCTTGTAGTCAATATGACAAGTGTTTGTGACAGCAGAAGAAATTGCACAGAGATGTTAACACCGAGGGGCATGCACACCCAAGACAGAGCACGTGACCAACTGAACAAAAAGGTAGAGGAAGGAAGTGGGTGGGAAGGAAATTGGAAGAGTAGTATCCATGGCACTTACTTCTCATGTAAAACGAAGCAGGTGTCTTCTTATTTGTTTAAAAGATAAGCAGGAAAGAGAAACTAGAGATTGGTTACCTGCTAAGTGTAGCAAGGAGAGAGAGGGATTAGAAAAGCGTAAGAAGAGGATGTAACACTCCTGGCACTTCTCCAAGGACAGCCCTGTGTGTAGTTCTGAGTGTTGGAGCCCTAGTGCTGTTGTACGTATCCAACAAAAGTAAATACAAAATCAAACAGGATGGAAGAACTCATTCTGAAATATAAATAGGAACAAATTATAGATTTCACAAATGACTAACATAACCATACCGAATGAGATGGGAAAAGAGGATCTAACACAATTAAATGGAAAGTAGCATTTTGACTGGATACTGGGGAGAATAAAAGATATAGGCTGTTTTCAAGTACTGTACTGTAGTTAACAAATTTGGCTCTCATAAGAATATGGATTAGCAATTCAGTAACTACTTCATGTCCACACTAGTTTTGAACACCTATAGTATATATTAATAGCTTTTTCACGCTACAAACAAGGAAAGAGTTGACTACAGTACACATTTCAGTGCATGTAGATTAGTGTACATGTATAGATGTGTTAGCAAGCCTAGGAGCAGTGATGCTCCCAGAGCAGTGAGCACATACGGATTCGAGATGCCATTCCTATTTATAAAAGGAAGTGATAGATCCAAGGGATGGCCTGGTGTGATGGCTAATCCTCCCTCTTCAAGTATTGGAATCCCATGTGGGCAGCAGTTCATGTCCTGTCTGCTCCCCTCCTCATCCAGCTCCTTGCTGTGCCTCATGAAAGCAGTGGAGGATGGCTCAAAGCCTTGGGATGCTGCACCCATGTAAGATACAAAGAAGCTGCTAACTTCAGAATGGCTCAGCTTTAGCCATTGTGGCCACTTGGAGAGTGAACCAACAGGTCAAAGATCTTTCTCTGTTCCTCCTCTTTGCAAATCTGCCTTTCCGATAAAAATAAATAAATGTTTAAAAGATCAAACTGAACCTGGAGTAACTTGTTGCTCCAGAAAATAAGAAAATATTTGAAAAGGTTGGAAATCAACAGTAAGAGTTTGCTATGGACAAAGATGGAACAATTTAAGCAACAAAAGTAAAAGTATTATTGGGGATCGGTGTCATGGCACAGTGCGTTAAGCTGCTGGTAGGAAGCGATTTACTGACACAGAAGAAGCTGACCATCAGAAAATGTACTGATTTTAAACATTAACTTGGGCCAGCAGGTAGCAGAGCAGGTAAAACCACTGCCTGAAATGGCAGCATCCCAAATGGACACTGGTTCGTGTCCTGGCTGCTCAACTTTCAGTCCATCTTTGTGTTAGTGGGAAAGCAGCAAAGGCTGCCCAGGTCTTTGGGATCCTGTCTACAACAGGGAAGGTCTGGATAAAGCTCCTGCCTCTTGGCTTCAGCCTGGTGGTTGAAGCCATCTGGAGAGCAAGACTTTTCCACTTCTGGACTTCCAAATAAAATAAAAAGTTAAATTGATCATAAGCCTTTCCTCAAACCGGCAGGTCCAGGTGGTTTTCCTTAGAAAGCCTACTCAACATTTGAGCAATAAAGAACGCTAATCTTAAACAAATTCCTTTACAAAACAGAAACTGTTCCCAGCTCACTGGATGAACCCAACCTAATATAACCTTGCCAAAAATTAGCAAAGACATCACAAGAAACAATTTCAAGCCCAACACCTCCCATGATGTAGAAATCCTGGACAGATCATTCACATGTTGAAAACAGCAATCCAGGCAACACATCCTGACCAAGTCAGCTTTGTTCTCAGGAAAGCAGGGTTCTAGAACATGGGAAATCAGTGATGCTACTTGCTGCTTAACTAATTTAACAAGGCATGTACAGCGTCCTCAGTGAAAACTATAACATGTACTACCAAGAGTTAAGCTGTGGGACAGTTGTTAGTCCCAAATGGGGTTCATGAAATCGTTACCAAGACTCCTTCCTGACTCCGTGCAGACGCTGGGAGGCAGTGCTAATGGCTCAAGGCATGTCGAGACTTGGCCTACTTGGGAGACGTGAATTGAGCTCCAGGCTCCCAATTTTGGCCTGGCCCAGCTCTGGTCATGTTGTATCTCAAAGTAAATTGTTTTGAAAACCAAGATTTGTAAATGACGTATTACAATAGTCATAGTACAACTGCTATTTATTAAAACAGGAAAGAACTTCCATTGGGAACCCAGTGACGGTTTCTTGCGTGGCCCAATGAAGACTTGTGTTATTACTACTCAGTTAACTACCAATAGTTAACAAAAATTTTTTAAAACAAAAAACATACTTAACTATTCTGATTTCTTCATCATCCTACCTTAGACCATCCAAAGAAGGCATGCCCAGTTGAAAACCCACGTATTTCATCTTGTTGCTCTTGCTTTGGAATGTTTGATTAGCATACACTGCCAACTTTCTGAGAAAGCAGAGGGATCCTAAGTCTCATCCTCACCGTGAGGGCGCATCAGGAGCAGCCCCTCGTGCATGCTCAGCACAGCGCAGCCACTCCCCCTGTCTCACCAGTGCCCAGCCAAAGGTGCGGTGTTCACCTCTGCCAAGCACAGAGGCATGGAGCAGCACACCTTCCTTCTTCCACCACTTCAGAAGTTATCTTTTAATTTTTGTGAGCTTAATTCTGACCAGCTTATTTGTACTATAAACAAGCCAACTAAAAAGACCCCCTCCTTATGCATTTGTATATTGTCAAGCTAACATCTGCCTTTAAGATTCACTTAATATTTTCATATTTAACGTGAGTTCTCCCAGCTAAGATTAGTAAAGCATCAGCTAAAACTCACTTTGAGGATTTCTAAATGTTTGGTTCATTTTAATGACATTGGCGTGAGACATTTCTTTGCTTATCACTTGCAAGTTACAAATAACGATAAACACTTTGATTTAATGTCTTTAATATATACACGGCATAATTTCCACCCAGAAAAAAAAAAAAAAGCAAACTGTGTATTAGCTGGGATCCTGCCCTGCCTCCACAAAGAGAGCCTCACTAATGTCCAAAACCTGTGAGCTGACTGCGTTACCTGGCAGGGGAGAACTAAGGTTGCAGGTGGAATTAGGACTGCCAGCAGCCTGACTCTGAGAAGACAGAAGTGCTCTGTATTATCCGGGATAAAACCTACCTCACAGAGGAAGAGACAGAAAATCAAGCAGCACAGCTATGCTGCAGAGGATCTTGGCCCCAGACCATTGTCTATTCTTTGGCATCAATTTTAATAGCCTCGAGTCATCTCCTACCCCCCTAAGTGACCCCCAAGTCCCCAGCCCCAGTGAAGAAGGACATTGTAAATGTCTGACTCTCATTGGGCACTTGGGTTGTCACCTTCATCTCTCTCTGCTGCCCTCCCCTGCCTCTTGGCCACCGTACTCATGAATAAGTTTGGATGTGTTTTCTGTTAATCCAATGGTCAGTTTGCTTCAGCTGACTTAAAGACAGACATTCAGAGACAGGAGTGAGAAAACCCCTTGGCCTCGCAACAGCTGCAGGAAACGGCATCTGTCTTACTGAGTCACCAGCTGGGTTATTTGGACACAAGATGGCAATAGACTATCAGATTTATCCCAGGGAACTTCCCAGTTCTGACTATGTATTAAAATGGGCAATGATAATGTCTTTTAATTTTAAAAAATTAATCACCTCATTACGTTTACGTTTAAGGTCTCATCAATATTGTTGGTTAGTCACGTAAATTAGCCTGGACAATGAAGTTGTTTTGTAACAATGATTTCTATTTTAATCCAGAAGAGTGATCTCTAAGTGAATAAAAGCCACTAGAATGTGTCACAAGGCTAAAGCCTTTTATTGTTCCCAGTGCCTTGGTGCTGAAAGTCACCCATAACAGGCACCCCATAAATAGTGGTAGAGCAAAAGAACATCTTGTAGCAATTTGCATATATAAATTGTCAAGTCTTTGCACACACTAACCTGAATAATCTGGAACTTGAAGAAAATCCCTTTATCCAAGAATTTTAAATGTAGCACTATTCATAGAACATGCATTTATTCAAATGTGCTTACATGGCATTATTCTTTGTGCTAGGAACAAAACAGCCATTCTTTGTTTCATCGAGCCAGCTCTGCCTTCCACCCAGGTGTGTCCAGTTCTAACCCAACACCCTCCCTTCCCACAGCAGTGTGGGCGATCGGCGGGGGTTGTGTGGTCATGGCAACCATGAGCCAGAAGTCAAATGCCTTAAGATGTAGGGTCTGTCAGAACTCTGCACCTGCCCTTGGGTGCTTGTGCTGGCTACTCCCTCCGTCAGGAAGTATTAGGAAAATGTACTATTCAGAGGGCTTTTAAAGGTTGGTGGGGAGGAAAAAGAATTTGCTCTCTTTCCTTCATAGTTCATAAGCCCAAAATCTATTTAACAAAATTATCGAGAAAAATAGGTTTATTAATGGTTTCCTTTATTTGGACATGAGAAAAAGAAACAGGAATAAGTAGCCAATCTGGGGGGTAGTTCTCAAAAAGATATTATGGAACTATAGGCTTAAACACCATGAGTCTGAAACAGAGATGAGGGATGTGGGGAATGCTGTGGTTATGATGAGATGTGCAGGAAGATCCCTGTCAAAGGAAGGTAGGGTTTGTTATGCACCTGCACGTCTGGGCTTTCATTGGTTTAGAGTCTCTAGAGGATTCATCAGCCTCTTCCTATTGCACTGGTGATGCTCACAAATTTCTCCCAGCAAAGGATTACTCTTCAGAGCTGCCCCTGCAGCTGCAGTGTCTCAGAATGACCCATCTGTAGCAGAAGCCACCTCGGCTGGTGAGGCAAAATGCCCGCATTCCATATGGCTACCATTCTAAAGAAGCTTTATTTACCCCAGATCCTCATCCTCTCAGTCACTGACTCTGCTTGCAATGAGTACCTGATTTCAGGCCTAGTAACACATAGATGAGAGCCTTCTGTCTGTCTCTAAGTCTCAAAAACGTTTAAAATATACAAACAGAATCTACCTGACAAAACAGTGTTTTTGCAATAGCATTATCCTTCAGTAAACATTGAGGGGTGGTGTGTCCTGAGCCCCAAACTCATATACGCTGTCCTGAGACACCTCATAAATCCTGATATCCTTGTCTTCTCTTTCAAGTTGTTTCATATTGAGTTGTGTAAAATGCCACCAGATTGTAATTTCCCTATAGAAACAGTTGTAGCAATTCCCAGAACCCAGCTAACACTGGGGAGAAAGCATATGTTCCCGAGGGAGACAGGAAGGAAGGGAGATAGAACAAAAGGAAGGGCAAAATAAAAATCCACAAATCTGGTGCTTTAGTATGTTGGTTATTCCAAAGTAAAATAAAGTTTAAAAGCTGCAAAAGCAGGTAGGACTTTTTTCTGAAGTTCCCCTAGCCAAGTGAGTGTCCCTCCATGAGGAATGGGGATGTCGTCCCTGCTCTCCCATGTGCTCATCAAACTGGGAGGAGTAACTTCCAAGAAGGAAGCTCGTGTCTGACCCTCTATCCTGAATGTACCACCTATTCTTTCAGGATTGCTGATGTAGGCATGGATGTATTCATGTTTCACTCCAGGCTGTTGCCATATGCAAAAGCAAAAGTTGTAGGCACTGGTTTATTCAAAATATGAGAAATGAATAATACGTACACACATGAGCATGGGTTGCCTTGATGAGATGCCAGGGAGAGGGGAGGCAGGGGGTTCATGGCATCCCCACCAGCACAGTCTAGGGCGTAAGAGAGAGCAAGCCCCTCCCCCT